TGTCAGCTACTGGCTATGATTCTCTGAGCGAGCAGAGAAAACTATCTATTTTTCTACACTTAATTGGAAAACAGTCACTTAAAATATTCAATTCATTTAATATTGATATTAATAAAGCAAAATTAGAAGAAGTTATTATTTTATTCTCTAATTACTTCATTCCTAAAAAGAATGTCATCATTGAGCGACATAAATTTTTTACTCGCTTACAATCAGTTGATGAAAGTATTAGTGAATATGTTGCTGATTTAAAAAACAGAAGCATGTCATGTGAATTTGATAATCTTCGAGAAAGTCTAATTAAAGATGTGTTGATTTTTGGTCTGCATAATAAATGGCAACAAATAAAACAAAATTTATTGAAAGAAGATGGATTAACATTAGACAGAGCAATGGAAATTTGTACTTCAATAGAATTATCAAAACAGCATATGGAAGATTTGGTTGTTGGTTCAAAAGAGGAGAATGTTTTAGCAATACAGGCAAGGAGAGAGTCAAATCAAAAAAGGTCAGATAACAGAAACCAAAGAAAGTCATCACAATCACTAACAAGGTACACTAACTTTAAAAATACTTCTAATGTTCATAATAACAATACTTGTACACGTTGTGGTCAAAAACATAAATATAAATGTCCTGCCATAGGTGTTAAATGCAATACTTGTAATCGTTTTAATCATTTTGCTAAATATTGTAAATCAAAGGCTGTTAGAACTGTTATTGAGTCTCCTACTGATTTATATTTATAACTTTTTTATAGGTACTATTAGTACTAATGTAAATACTGTTAATAATAATGTTGAAAAAAATTTAGTTTGGTTAGTTGATTTGTATATAAATAATGAGATTTTAAAATGTCAAATTGACACTGGTGCTCAGGTTAATATCATATCAATAAATAATTTTTTGAAACTTAACTTAAAAGAGTCATTGATTAATAAAAATACTAAAGTTAAATTGATATCCATACATTCTAAAGTAATACCAGCTGTGGGTAGCTGTAATATTAAATGTGGGTACAAAAATTAATTTGAAGATTTAGTTTTAGCTTCGATGCGAAGCTGAGAAGGTATTAATTTTACCATGATGTGTTTATTTTTTTTTTTGTGTCTGTCACTACTTTTTCTCAGCTCTCACTGGACCGATTTCTTTTAACAATACGTCAAAAGATCACAAATTGTATCTAGTTGAAGACATTACCCTTAAAAATTTAAAAATTTTCCCTCGTTCCCCGCAAATGGGGGAAATATCCAAAAAAATTACAAATTTAAAAATCGACAAATTTTGTCATTTTTTTCACTTTTTTTTCTTAAAACTTCCATAACTTTTTCAAAAATCAACAAATCAACATAATTTTTTTTTAAACTAAAACCTTAGATATTTTCCTTTCATTTGATATAATTTTTTTGAAAATTTAACACTTAACCTGCTCATGGGGGGGGATTTAAAATTGCAACTTTTTTACAAAAACTAACTTTTTCAACTTAATTTTTGAAAATGTTCCGGAAATACTGCGTCCTTTAAACATATATCAAATTAAAGCTTATTTTATGTACTATAAAATGAAAAAAAAAAATTTGTCCCGACACTTTATCTTCTGCATGTAAAC